GGTCTAAATACCTAATCTTCAGTCTTTCTCTGGACTTGAAGCAGAAAATTATAGTCAAAATTTTCTAGCATACTTTCCACGCAGGAAATGAAATGCTTGTGAGATTCTTTGACTTACGCTAGACATAAAACTTTACTTCCATTTCACAGAATCATTACTTTTAAGGAGCTGATGGCTTTGCTTTAATTAAACAAATAGAAATACTGTAATGAAGAGAGTACTGGACCAAATTGCTCCAGTCATGGCATATAGCTCATCCATTCACCTAGTGCCTGAAATTCCATGATTAGAGATTCATTCCTTTAGGTTAAGTGTTATCTTTCCTCCTGGTGAGACTGTTAAAGCATTTGAGGACGTTTTCAAAGCACTGCAACTCCATCAGGGACAATGCTGTCAGGGAAGGTAGAATTTAATATGATACACGATTCATCAGATTAAACGTCAAAACTCCCGTCATTTCCTATAGATTCTAAAAATTTTGCTACTGCACTTTATTGGGGGATGGGAGTGAGTTTTGTTTCTGTACGTAGCTGAACAGACACCCCCGCACACTGCAGACCTATCCCTCTGCGCTGATAAGGAAGAATCTTCATTTCCATGTTAGTTTTGTGGGCCCAGAATGGCTTTTGTTTTGTTTTGTTTTGTTTTGTTTTGTTTAGCAGTTGCGAGGCTACAGATATGTTAGGACACAGCTCACTGACCCTTGCAACACTATTGAAGCTTACAGTGATTCCAGCTACTATGCTAGGCCTTAGAGATTTAAAGACAATTAAAATCAGGCCCTGTTGTCAGGAATGCACGAGCTGTATGGCCAACTAGAGCAAGTTTCCAGTTGTTTTAAAATGTGTCTGAGGCTTTGGTGTTTTTAGGCATGATTACGACAATGGATCAACGGACAGTTGCCACTGAAAAGATAGTTTGCTACTTAAAGAGATGAGGCATATCATGCTACATAGGGCCACCGAGGAGGCACCAGAGTTGGTTCCAGATAAGCAAAACATGCGGTGGGCCCCTAGCGCATGGGGAGCCCCGGGCGGGGAGCGCCGGTCTTTGGACCGACGACTCACTCCCGGCCTCAGGGTTTCCCGGAAGGAGGGCTTC